ATATATATATATATATATAGTATATTTTAAAATTTTCTTAGCAGAAATCTGGGGAATGCTGAGAACCTGAGCTCCAGTCTGTGAGCTTGCCTGGTTAAAGCCATGTTGCTATGCGTTCAGTGACCAGAGCCAGTAAATGCCTCTGTAACACAGCAGACCTCTTAAAGCCATGTCCACCTCCTCCAAGTACCAGTGTCTGCTAAATTAATTCATTAACCTTATTTAGGTCTAATGGTCCAGAGTCATTAGAAATTGCTCTTTCTTAATCAACTGTTAGAGAGATTTAACAGAGCCAGGGAGTCTAGCAGTCCACATTATCTTATTACACTGTCACTTTCTCAGAAGTCACAGATTAAAGAGCTCTGATGTGGTACCGAGTCTACCTAAATGTCTTCTGAAGTGACTCTGTGGAGTGACTAGAAGCAGTGCTGTTTTATTTCACTCCTCTTACGGATGCCAGACACTGCCATGATGTTTGTATAGAGCTGGAGGAGACTTAATGAGATGGGGTCACTTTCCAAGTTTTCTGCACATTTGAAATAATGGAAAAGCCTCAGTAGAATCACATAACAGAGTCCAACATGATCATTAGTTGAGATCCTGAACTCTAGTTGCAACATTTCTTCTTGGCAAACCTTAAGCTTTTAAAAGCCAAGGCAAAGGAAACCAGTAGAAGGGTACCCCCCAGTCTAAGAAACAGGGTCAGAAACATCTAGCAATTGAGAAAAACAATGTGATTTATATTGTCTTCTTTTTAATTTATGGGAAATGATTTCTGTAATGCATGTAGCTTTATGCATTTTTGATGTGCACTTCATCTTTCATTTCCATTTGACCTGGTTTTCCTGTAATAAAATTCTGTAGATTTATAAATTCATGCTGAGAGCAAAGAATGCCATTCTCTTTCCACAGGGAATCTATTAGATGCAATATTAAAATCTATATATACCATTACTGAAAATTTGTGATTGATAGGCTTATATATTTCACTGATTTCATACCTATTCCTCTTACATAGTTTATGCACCAAATTTTTATTGCTTAAAATTAAGCATCAATAAATGTGGCAGCATTTCAGGCTGAGACTCTCCAGCATGAAATCCATCATAAAAAGTGACAATGAGAATCTACGCTGAACAATAAAGCAGCCCAGTGACTGGTTTATTTGGCTCTCAGTGAATCACTTCAGCATTTGGTTTTTGTTTTTGTTTTTTAAATGAGGGCTCAAAACTAGTAAGCTCACCTTTTGCAGAATGTGAGACTATGTCTTACCATACCCAGACCTCATGTGTGGTAGGATTTTTTTTTCAACATATAGGGAATTAGAATTAATGCTGGGTGGCTATTTATTTTTCTTTCTGCCCAGTAGCTTTGATCTAGTCTCTAGGACTGAACAACTTTACTTGGAGCGGTAGAGCAGAATTATTTCTGCTTCACCAAATACACTTTGTTCTCTGTTGATCTGGATCTCCAGAGCAGAGATAACTCAAAATCACTTAGATTTATGGGCAGATAAAACAACAACACAAAAGGTTTGGCTTTAAGCCAATCGAAATCTTGGATGACAATCCCCACTGATCAATGACATAGACCAGGCTTATCATCAAAAAGCCACACAAGGGGTCGAATCACTTCTTTTAGTCACCTTCCACTCAGAACTTGCTACTTAATGCGATTACACTTCTTGGGGGATAATTAAGTCTAGTAGAAGCTCCCTGGGGACCATGTTAACATCCATTGAGAGGATTTAATGTTTTTAACGCTAGAAGACCTTTTTTCTTGGGAAGGAACTTTGTGGGGGTAAGGGTGGAGTCCTGTCAGATGTCAGTCTACTTTTCTCCTGTGCTAACCTTCCTGGGATCAAAGAGTGTTCCTTGGTGGGGGGGTTGCTATCAGTGCCACCTGAAGGGCCTGTGGGGACCTCTTGGAGTTCCCCCTACAGAGTTGTGGAATGTTTAATAACCAGTACTGTTTGTATAAAGCTAGAATACCTAAATGGTTGTCAGGGAAAGATTTACTAAAATGTTATTTTTATTACAGATAAATGTGGTGATACTATAAAAATTGAAAGCCCAGGGTACCTTACATCTCCTGGTTATCCTCATTCTTATCACCCAAGTGAAAAATGTGAATGGCTGATTCAGGCTCCTGACCCATACCAGAGAATTATGATCAACTTCAACCCTCACTTTGATTTGGAGGACAGAGACTGCAAGTAAGTGAGAAAGTATTTGAACAGGGCACCACACCACCATCTAGTGGTCATGGATGCCTAAGGGGGGGGAAGTCTGTGTGTACAGTATGGGATATAAATGGATCCAGGAGGGATTCTGATCTAGGCCAGATCATGTATCAATGGTATGGAAATTAAATTATGTTAAGTAATTTCTGAGTTCCCCAAACTAGCATATTATGTTTAAATGTATAATCTCTCAATTTTTTTTTCCTGTTAACACTTATGGTTTCAGAACTCTTTTGTTAAGAAATGTATATTTACATTTCTTTCTCTTTTTTTTGTTCCTGGAAAGGGGAAGAACTAGAAACCCAAATTTTCACTTAAGATTTTTTTTTAATATTGTGGGTTACTAACATATATAGCATCAACAGATGATGAGGTTGGGTGTTTTTTAACAAATCTGTGACACATTTTGTGATTTAAGGACTGAATCTTATTGAATTTGACATGACAAAAGCAAAGTGTCATTGAATAAAAATAAGGCATATAGTGTAAGCTGGATGAGGGGTTTTCATTGTAGATTAATGATTGCAAGTGTCTTGTGGAAAATGCAAAAAAAATGCTAATGGATAATGAATACAATGGGGCTCAAATATAAATTATTATTTCATCTATCTGCTTTCATCTTGCTAACGCCTTCTACTGTTAAGTAAATAAGCATCAATTTATGCCAGATTTCCTTATTATCAAAATATCCTCACTATAGATACAGTCTAAATTTTATCTCTTCACTTTATATGAATGAGCTAGTGTGTGGATCTTGCTTTGCACAGTGTAGAAAATGTGTTTTAACATTGCAGGCAGCAGTCTCCTCAGATCCAGGATTTGCTCTTCTCTCTGGACATCCACGAGACCACCTGTCTCTGTCTTGTCCACGTTACCACACTCTGCCACCCTGCATGTGATGTGTTCTCCAGACACTTGAACCTGAATATCTATCTTTAATGAATGTTTGGATAACGAAATAGTTTTAGCCAAGGAAAACAATCTACTTAAATCTCAATTCTAAAGTGTTTTTTGGGGACCAATATGTTTTCCCAAGTTTTAAAATGGATCAGTTTGATATAATTTCATACGATGTGAGTAGGCTATGGTTTCCATTGGATATAAACATTATTATGCAGACACGTTCATTATTAAAAATGTTCTATTTGCAAACACATAGCCTTTTTAGGGAAGAACAGAGTAATATGAAAACGTTCCCACCTGTAGGAAGTCCTTAACGACCTGTTGAGTTGGTGGGGTAAACTAGTGTTTCATGGGCAGGGAAATGAGGTCATCAGGCTAATTCAACATTCTGGTACCTAGAGAATTAGCATACATTCATACACTGTTGATCAATTTCCAAATAATCAGCATACACTAGAATGTAAAAAAAGTATGCTGATTCCAATTTAATCCTTGTTCTGTGCCTCAGGGCATTATATTGACTTCTTAATCTTGTATGAAAGTTGTCATTAATAGAGTGTTCCAGTGACTGCTAAGAAACAGGGAGTTTATTGTTGTTGCCAATATTCTGTATGGTGGTTTTACAGCGTCAGTCACCTAGAGAAGCTGGATGTTTGTTCTCTCTTTCATTTTATTTTGTTTTATTTTTTGCTTTTTGAAAATATTTAAACTGCTATAAGAGATATTTTTTTTTTAATTTTTTTTTTCAACGTTTATTTATTTTTGGGACAGAGAGAGACAGAGCATGAACGGGGGAGGGGCAGAGAGAGAGGGAGACACAGAATCGGAAACAGGCTCCAGGCTCCGAGCCATCAGCCCAGAGCCTGACGCGGGGCTCGAACTCACGGACCGCGAGATCGTGACCTGGCTGAAGTCGGACGCTTAACCGACTGCGCCACCCAGGCGCCCCTATAAGAGATATTTTTAAGAGATGGTAAAACATGTTCAAGTAATAACATTTTTCCAAAGATAAGATGCCATTACATTTTAGTAAACTCATGTCTACTAAATCCTGATCTGAAAATCATGACCACATCTGCATATGATATAATAGCTAAAACATTCAAAATAATCAGTAGTCAGTAGCAATGGTGTGCTGGTAAGGGTTGAACAACTGGTTCTTGGAAGGGGATGGGTGAAGTCCTCATTTGTAACATTTGCCAATTTCTGTAGTGTAAATATTCCCACCATGGCCAGTTTCAAACTATCTATGTGATGTCACTGTATGCAGACTTGCAAAGAGACGTGCATGAGGGGTTCTTGTGAGCTGGTGCAAGCTGGAGTAGAAGTGTATGAAGGGGAAGCCAGTCAAGTGAGTTAATATGTGTTAAGTGCGTATCACAGTGTCTGGCAGGCAGTAAGTCTGCAATAACTATTTGCTATATCATAATGGGAGGTGGAGGGTTGTGGAATTGGAAGAGCACTTTTTCAATGTTCTTTCTTAAACATGACAAGAAAAGGGATAATTATAATTTATAGCAAGGGAAAATTTTAGTGATATCGACAAGGTATTCAAGAAACTGACATGACCAAGAAGATTGTTGCTGTTGTTCTGATAGAGGCCAGACTTTTCAAGGCTACAAAGTGAAGTGGTTTCTTAACTGTAGCGAGTAGGGATTTGTTCTCTGTGAAGGTGCCATCTCCTGGCCAGCCTTGAAAGGCTGATAATGTTTAGCCTGATGAAGTCAACGGAGATGATGGCATAGAAAATAGCTTTGTGCCCTGTTTTGAAGTGTTGCTACCTGATTGTTTTATCAATAAAAATTCAAAAAATGATATAGGAAGAGCAGCTTAAGACATTGCTGTCACTATATTTTCAGGCTGGTCCACATGTGACTCCTGGTTGCAGTTGAGATACAAGCGTGGCACAACTCTGACAATCTTTTGTGAAGGCTGTGAGAATAATCTACAGCTTTAATTTAAAATTAAAACTCCCCACAAAAATGAAAAATACCAATAACCCTTGGGAGAACAAATGCATAGGCAAAAATTTTTTGTTGGATGTGCAAAAACATAGTTTCTTTGTTTTTTACATTTTAGTGGGTTTGGGGTGGGTTTTTGTTTTTGTTTTTGTTTTTGTTTGTTTGTTTGTTTGTTTGTTTGTTTGTTTTTTGGCCATTTATAATAGGCTCCTTCCAAAAACATATTTGAGTTGATACAAAATTAGGTACAATAAACCAAATACAGCGAGCTGGCAAGCTTTTAGTTATCATTCCTGTTAAGATCAAACTGATTGTCTTATTTGAGATATTTAATATCTTCCCCTGTTTCAGCTACATTTTATGTGTAAGAGCAGTAAAAAGTCCAATGTCATTGGGTTATTGGCAAGATAAAATAGGGTAGTGGCTATGAAAGCCCTTTGAAAAGTTAAAAAGCTTCCCTCGAAAGAAGTTGCCACTGTTATTATGGTATCTTTAACAACTTGGTGATGGTTAGAACATTTAGAAATATGAAACTTAAGCATATGTCAAACTAAATACATAGATCCAGTAATGGGATGATCCACATAAAATATACCTGGCAATTTCTTTTGAAGCTTTCTAGTATTTGTACAGTCAACGTCCACCATGTGAAAGTTTAAGAAATCAATTCCCTAGCACATTTGCTTATTGAGGAACATCCTTAAAACCCAGGTAAAATTCTTTTTGTGGAGTGTAGGGATGGATAAGTAATTAAATAGATTAGCTCTGGTAGGAAAAATATTTACTTATTTAAATTGGTATTGTTTTATTTATAATTAAATTAAAAACTATGTGATAATTTTTAACAATATACTAATGCAGTATCAATTTTTCATGTGAAGAGCTCCAAGACCAACCCAACACATAAGCACTATGAACCTAACCTTACAAAAGGTTTTTAGAGTGGATATCAAGGCGTTACTTCCTTAGGGAAAATTGATGTGCAAGTTTGTGCCTGATAATATTAAAATGCAACAATCTATGCTTCAGGTTGCAGTATGAAAGTCAGGTTTCATTACGAATAAACATAAAGACATACTATTATAACTACCAGAGTTCTTTTATTGAACAATGTATAGTATTGACCAATCAATCAATCAACCAGTAGAGCAGTAGAGAATCTATCTGTGGCTAACATTGCACTAGGACATTTAGCTAGAATTACCACCTGGTTTTATTGTTATGTTGATAAAAGAGAGGTGGCTGGAGAATATTCTGAAGGAGGAGAAGGTATGGAAGAAATGTACCAGTAAAATCCTCCATACCTGTGAAGTGTCAAAGCATAGTTACAAACAGAAAAGAAAGAAAAAGGCAACCTGCTGAAGTGTTTTTCAGAAAACAGTGTTCATTGTGACCTGTAAATGGTTTTCAGCATTTACGTTGAGCTAGTTAGCTCTTACTCAGCTACAGTTTTCTTCGGTGGTAAAGCAGACATCTTGAATCTCATAAAACTTTATATCTGCATAATAAACAAGAATGTCATTGATACAGTAGTTAGAATTTATGGAACTTTTCCGGTTTCCCAGCAATGCAAACTATCAGCATGATAATTTATAATGGGTTGTGACAAATACTGCTGAGCAAAGAGGTGTGTGATTACATTCAGATCAGATGTCCTCATCTAGGGAGCAATAAAAATTTCACAGACTTTGGGTTAAAAACATTAAGAAAATGAATGTGGAGCTCCAGAAAGAGTCTAAAAAGGTGGTAGTATTGGAGGGAGAAAACTCAGTAGTGGTCTTCTTACTGACTGGTTCCTGGCTCCAATGGCTGATTTGTCAGTTGCTGTTTTGCAGGATTTCACCAAGACACAAGCTAACATGGTACAGATGCTTTTTTGTCTATAAGAGATTTGTAATCTGTTCTTTGTGTAACCAAAAGTAGGTTTTTTTCTAATTCAACGCAATCAAAGGAGATTTCACTCTTGTAACTTCATGTGAAGTTTAGTTATAAGCAAATTGTAACTAAACAGAGATAATACTCAAGTTTGGGCATTTTGTTGGAATAGATCACACACTGTTTCTTTAATGCCACTTTTAAAATTAAATGCCACTTTAAAATTAAAAGTTC